AGAGAGAGAGAGAGAGAGAGAGAGAGAGAGAGAGAGAGAGAGAGAGAGATTTTCTTTCACACGAGCCCTCAGAATTACAGTTCATGAACTATTCAGTAAACTGACCGGCCTGAACCTCCCCTTCAACGGCCTAATCTAAGGGGTGGATCTATGTGTTTTGTTGCTTGTCAAAAACAATCACTCCTCGGCCCATTACATTTACAGCACGTCGTCCTTTAATTGGTGTAACACACTGAGGACTGAAAGGAAGAAAGTCCTACAAAAGAGCCTGAGTGAATGAACCCTGACTCACACAAAAATACTCTTCAGAAGTTCAGAGCTGGGCACTAACAAGGAGGTAGAGAGTTAGCTAGAAAAGAGGTTAAGTTCAGAAATGTGCCACCTTGAAGATCCTCCCATCAAAGCCATGATAACATTGACAAGATGAAGGGGGGAAAAAGTTAATCATTCCTGGGCTTGGAAGATTTAACAAAGCAGAAGATGGGGGGTGGGAATCTCTTTGCTCCTCCATCCTCCCCCCTATCTATTCATTTTGATGGCATTTCCCCCCAAAAGTTCTCAGTGTTTCTGTACTTTTTTCCCCCTTCCATATCTTTCCATTGCTGCTTTTATAGTCTGATTCTTCAGATTTCCTTTAATTAATAAATAGTTAAGTCTTAACATTCTTAAAAAATGTTTTATTTTAAAAGGTGGAAAGGGTCTGGAGCAGTCATTAAAAAATGGGACAGAAATTTAGAATGACTTTAAAGGCTAACTTTATAATGCTGGAAAAGAATAAGAAGAGGGAGAAAACCGCTAAACTTGACGGGAGAGACTGAGAGGAGAATAAATAGTAGGGGGTGGGGGTGGAGTGGAGTGGAGAGAGAAAAAAAATCGAGTCCTTTCTCTGACAACTTTGATTACTGTGATCTGCATGGAATAATTACAACATATCTTCTGTGTCACAAAGTTCCAAAGACTTTTCTCTTTCTGAACTCCCAGCCATTTCTTTGCTTAGTAGCTGTCAGCGTATTGGTGAAAGGGAGGTGGTGCGGGGAAAGGATGGAGGAGATGAGAGAGTGGGTGTTTTTTTTTTTAAGCTTCAGTTCAGCGGAGCTGAAAAAGTCAGATTCCAGCATTCTCTTCATTTGTTGCTAATGTTCAAGGATAAGCGTCACTCTTGAAATTCCCTGTCAAATGAAATTGCTTTGCATTTTTTTTTAAATGTATAAATTTATTTGTTATTTAAAGTGACAGATTCAAAGTTTGGGAAACTTTAACCTATGATTAATGGTCAAAGATTGTCCTGTGGGACTAACGTTTTTTTTTGCAGTTCTTCCTTGTGTATAGGATAAAATGAACTAATGAGGAATGTCAATGAATGCAGTCACATTTCAATGAAGTCAGTGGAGGATCAGGCCTAGTTAAAGACACAGAATTTGTAAGTAAGAGGCAATAATACGATGGAAGAGGGGATTTTCTATTTAAGGAGGATCAATGTGTTTTACTGAAACTGTGCTCTTACTGGGGATAAAGTCAGCTTTCTCTCCCCTCCTTCTCAGCTTTAATGAACTTTATCCAGCACTCTATTCCCTATCCAGATTTTCTTTTCTTTTCTTTTCTTTTCTTTTCTTTTCTTTTCTTTTCTTTTCTTTTCTTTCTTTCTTTCTTT